CAAAAACCCTAGCTTATATACAGGAGCGAGTGGTTTGGATTGAAACCAATCCGACGGCTACCAAAATCCCACTACGCTAATATTAGTATACGGCATCGTAGCCGTACACTTGGCCCTCACATCATCCCCTCCTCTCAGAATAATGGAAGGCTATCAGGGTTCTCTTGTAGATGGGCCAGCATCTGGAGGAACGTCAGGAGGAGGCATCGGCGGATCTGTGGACGGCATTAATTGCTCCTGATCCCTTTGTATGAAGTGTTTCAACTGCTGCACATGCACAATCTTTGGAGGATCGGCTTGCTGGATGTCATGCCGAACCTCATAAACTTGCGGTCCAACTTGCCGCAACACTCGATATGGTCCTTTCCACTGCGCAAGGAGCCCCTTAGATAAACCACGTACCGTAAGATGAGGAAAACGGACTAACACCAAATCATCCACTTTGTACTCTGCAGGTGGATGATGATGGGAGTTGTAGCACCGTTGTTGTCCCACTTGTACACGGCCTAAGTGTTCGGCAGACTCTGCTCGGACAAGTGGAAGAATGCTCGTCAAATATTGATCCCATGACCTAGCATCTTAAGCTCGTGGGGTAAACCCAGCTTCGTTGGTAATATTGGATCATGACCATATAGAAGTTTATATGGTGAAGCACCAACAGAACTCTGCACCCCTGTGACATAGGCATACTTAAGAGACGGCAAATAACCATCCCAATCCAAATGCTGAAAGTTCACATACTTCACAATCATCCCTTTGAATGTCCGAACGAGCCGTTCCACTAGACCGTCTGATTGTGGATGATAAGCACTCGTAAAAGTGTGGCGTATCCCCAACCGAGATGTCAAAACATGAAATACCTCAGCCATAAATGCAGGACCATTATCCGAAAGAATCCACTCTGGACAAGAATGCTGGAACACCACTCGATTGAGGAGGAAGTATCTAACAGCAGTTGCAGAGGCACTAGCAAGAGCACCAACTTCCACCCAACGAGTCAAGTAGTCAGAAGCAATAATAAATACTCATTGCCAGCAATCGATCGTGGAAAAGGTCCCATAAGATCAAACGCCACCAACTCAAACGGACGGGAAACTGTAATTGACTCCAACCATCCTTCCGCAGCACAAGGGGGAGTATTACGAGCTTGGCACCAAACGCAGCTGCGCACATACCGGATAATATCACGTCGCATCTCTGGCCAATAGAAAGACCTGCGCAGCTTCTCGGTGACACGACGGTGTCCCATATGCCCACCTAGAACAGGAGAATCATGGTAGGCATGGAGAAACCGCGGAATAAACACCGAAGGCACCACCAGCCATAAATGATCATCAGGATCCGTCCCCACAAAATAAAGAAGGCCATCTTCAAGGTGATATTAAGAATGTAAATGCCGGAAAGGCAAGTCATCAGCAAGTGATGCAGGATTCTCAAACCCATCTCAAAGCCTTCGAATCCACAACTCAATCTTTTGAGCCTCGCGAACCTCATCAAGAGAAGGTAGATCTTGCTCTGCGCCCTGTGGACACTGAACGTCAAGGACAGCAACCGCCGACGGCACAGAATCCTCATCTAGAAAATCCACAGATGCTGGAACAACAAGTTCGTCAGAAACATGAGAAGTGAGTGGAGAAGGAAGAGGAGCTCGAGAAAGGGCATCAGCATCAGCCATAGAACTCCCTGGGCGATGAACAACATCGAAATCATATATCTGAAGCTTCAAAGCCTATCGAGCCGTACGACCAACCAGGTTTTTCCGCTTCAATAATGAAGTAACAGCAGCATGGTCACCTTCAAGTAACGTCTGAGAACCATGTAGATATGTATGAAGTTTCTCGAAACCCCAGACTGCTGCTAAACACTCCTTCTCCGTCATGGAGTAATTCTCCGCTGGTTGTAATGTACAGCTTATGTATGCAATGGGATGGCGTTGACCAGGCACACTCGAGCTCTCTTGCATCAACACACCTCTAAGACCAATGTCAAAAGCATCCACGCGCAAAATAAAAGGTCAAGTGTAGTCAGGATATGCCAAAACTGGAGGAGTCATCAATAGCTCTTTGACATTCATGAACGCTCGCTCATAATCCGGAGACCAAATGAAAGATGACGTTGATGACTTCAGCAACGCTCGCAATGGTGTAGTGCGATCTGAAAGATGATCCACAAAACGACCGAGATACTGCACCTTACCCAAAAAGCGCTGCACATCATTCACACACTTTGGAGTAGGGAACTTTAGAACAGCCACAAGTTTGTCAGGATCAACTTGCAAACCTTCACGAGAAATATGGTACCCAAGATAAGTTGTGTCCTTGGACCCAAACATGCACTTTGACCGCTTTAGCTTTAAACCAACGTCGCGTAGCCGATCCAACACTTTACAAACATCACGAATGTGCTCCTCCCACGTCCCCTCCAAGTGGATCAAGACATCATCAATGAAGTCAGCCGTCACCTCTGGCATATCGCAAAGAACCTCGTCCATCATCCGCTGAAAAGTTGCTGGAGCATTGTTCAAACCAAACGGCATCACCAAGAACTCATACAAACCAAATGGTGTACGAAAAGCAGTCTTAGGAATATCTTCTTCGGCCATCGGTACTTGCCAATACCCAGAAGCAAGATCTAGCTTGGTGAACCAATGACTTCGCCCCAGACGATCCAAGAGATTAGCAGTGTGAGGAAGAGGGTACATGTCCGGGATCGTCACTTCATTTAACAGACGATAGTCGATGCAGAAACGAATACTCCCATCAGGCTTCGTTACAAGATGAGGTTCACATGCCCAAGGACTCCGCGACTTCCGAATAACACCCTTCTCCAACATCTCCTTGACGTTTGCACGTAAAATCTTGATCTCTTTGGGTGACCGAGGACGAACAGGAACCTTGATTGGACGAGCATCCCCGGTTGGAATGGGATGACGTGTGGCAATCTTGGCCCCAGACGATAGGTCAAATTCAAAGAGATCAGAATACTCCTTCATGAGCTGGTCAACAGCTGCAACATAAAGATCATCAGAGGGATCGAAAAAGGGAAGAGCAGAATAAGATGGAAACACAAGAGGAAATAGTGGAGGAACAAAAGTAATGGAAGCAGAGGTAGAAGTAGAGGGACGAAGAGGTACGGAAGTGAGAGGAATGGATGAAACATAAGGAAGTATGAGACAAGGGGGAGAAGCCTCAAAGTCACACTTGGCATGATTGCGCTGCAACCAATCCATACCAAGAATGAGGTCAAAAGCTTGACTCGGCACCACCCGCAACGACTACAACTCAAGCTCGAGATCACCAACACAACCAGGTTCGCCTCATCTCGTGCACATGCATGTGTACAGCCGTTGCCATAAAGAATGAAAACTGGATCCGCCGCACGATGCAAGTGTAGACGACAACGTGTGGCAACAGGTCGAGCAATAGAAGATAAACTCGAACCTATATCAACCAACACGGAGAAAAGAATAGGAGACTTCTTGTTATAAAAACGAGCTTGGAAAGTAAACACTGGATGAACCGGTGCTGAGTGAACCCCTTGATGATACTCCCGAAAGAAAGATGGAGGGGTCACTAATTTATTCGCGCAAGGTCCCTCCATTACTCGCGCGACTCCTCGTTTCCCGAATGCACCTCGGTATCCAAACCTTCCACCGCAGCAGCACCAACGGGACGTTGCTGACGCCAAGGTTTCCACCCAGGAAATGGAGGTCGCCAATCCGGAAAGCGCCGACAACACCGATAAGTATGACCAACTTCATCACACGCCCAGCAACGAACATCACGGCCACAACCACGTCCTCGCCCTTGTCCTTGGACTCGAGTAGCAGCAGCATCAACCTCCATGGGAACAGGACCATCACTCATAGGAAGTGGAGCTGAAGGACGTGTAGCAAGAAGTGGAAGAGGCAACGTCTCATAATGTTGTGCCAAGCGAAGAGCATCGTCAAGAGTGGCAGGAGCAAGACAAGATCTTGACGAAGTGCTAGCCACAACATTCCTAGCTTGATCCGCTCTGACATATTTGGCTCCGCACTAAGCAAAAGACTTCGGAAACGAATGCCAAATTGCATCACCGACTCAAATGGCCCTTAGTGAAGACGATGTAATTGTTGGAAGGCATCATCACAATTGTCGGCGTGTCCGAAGGCGCGTTTGAAGACGTCCGGAAGAACACTCCGATCGCCATGAGTGGCTGTGCTCAATCCATTGTACCACTGCAATGCCGTGCCTTGGAGACATGTGGGGAACTCACACAAACGTCGAGCATCATCCCAAGAATGATATGTGGCAATCACCCTGAAGTGATCGAACCAATGGTACACATCATCCCCAGGATTCCCGTGAAAGAACTCCGGCTGAACGCAAGGATTGGCACCAAGAGCAGGAGGAGTTGTACCATGTGCCGTGAACGCTGCCATCAACTGAGTTTGGTTGTTCAATTGCAAGCGCATAGCATCAAGCAATTGAACCAACTGCTGCTCTAGAGTCAAAGGAGGAGATTGTGGATCGGCCATGAAGATGAATGAAAAAGAAAGAGCAAAAGAAGAGAAATGACAAAAAGTTGGAAAGAAATGGTAGATCTAGACAATGCAAAAAGCTAGATCTAAACCAAAATCCTGAAAGGAAAGAACAAAAGAAAGGAAATGGAAAAAGTTAGATCTAGACAATGCAAAAGTTAGATCTAAACCGAAATCCCAAATCCAAGCACTCCCCAGGGACAATTAAAAGTGCCCTTCAACTCCACCAATGTGAGTGCATGGAAAACAGAAATATGCATATCAATTAGCCCAAAAACCCTAGTTTATATACAGGAGCGAGTGGTCCGGATTGAAACCAATCCGATAGTTACCAAAATCCCACTACGCTAATATTAGTATATGGCATTGTAGCCGTACACTTGGCTCTCAAATAAGCAAATTTGTAAGTGGATATATATAAAATATTCTTGAATATTTTAAATTTTGAATCTGCTAACACCATCATGTTCAAGATAATCTATATTAGTTGTAAAATCCATGAATTCATTCTCACTGCTGGCTATAGTGATGGTCTCTCTTTGAGTCAATGCTGTGGACCCCGAAGGATCTCACCTTCCCTGCAAACGCACTACCCTGAGGACTTCATCTTCGGCGCCCTCAAGCAATCAGCCAACACGAACAACGGGCCTCAATGGTCCTTTCCATTGTGAGGCTCGACTTCGCAAAGGGTGGCTTGATCCCGCCTCACACCCATCCCCATGTCGAGATGAGTCGTGAGGTACGCTGGGTTTGTCACTCACTATGGACAACAAGCTAAGACGACGTGATGATCTTTCCCCGGGGCTTGATCCACTGGCAGCTCACACCGCCACTGGGATCGTCTCAACTCGCATTTCCCTGGCTTCCAGCTGATTGCCAGCTCCATGTTTGGATCCAATATCCTGGACGAGGTGTTGATCAAGACCTTCATCAACGAGAAGGCCGTGCAGCAGCTCAAGTCAATCTTCACTCTGGCTAGGAAAAAAACCCATAGTGTCAAAGTTTGTCATACGAGATTTTTTCCAAGTGTGCTGTGCTTGAAGACCTCACTTGGTTCCTTTGTATCACCTCCATTCTCTTGGAAACTCTTGTTTTCTTCGCGATCAAAACAGTACCATGGCGCTTGCCACCCTTCATCCTCGAGCACCTTGCCAGGCTCGAAAGTCATGACATACTCTTCCCTCCCTGGAAGATTTTCATTCTTAGTTCTTAATAGAGCGAAAAGGAAGAGACTATACCTGTGTAGAAGATCCAATACACAGGCCTCTTTGTCTCCACGTCCTCGTAGTAGAAGATGAAATCATCGGCCTTGGACCAGACATTGCAAGTGAATCCTCCCACTTCCCTCACGCCAATGTAAGTGGAATTGCTCACCAGCCAATCCGGTGGCAAAATCCCCACTGGAACATGAACAGTCCTGCAGCTGCCGGCGTCGAGATCGTAGAAGAAGGACGTGCCGTTTGTCCACTCGAGATCGTAAAGCGTGGATCCCAGCTGCGAGTGGATGATGTTGAAGTTCCTGCCATTCGGGAAATCATACCAGAGGTCGACCGTGGAGAGCTTGCCGCTCGCATTTTGGAGGAGCAGCGCGTGGAATTGCTCCGGCCACGGCGTTGGAGTGGGGCTTCCAAATCCGGCGTCGCAGAAGCCGAGAAGAATTGCTGCGAGGGCGAGCTTAGCCGCATTGCCATGCGACGCCATAGCCAAAATTATCCCTGCGTACCTTTGAAAAAATTCCATATCTTTACATCCAACAAACGTACTGCCACTGTATCAAACTATTTCGCTGCACTTTGGAGCTCCACTCCTGATACCGGTGCAAGCTCCCTGGAAACTCGTGAAGAGTCCATCGACTTTAACAGTCTTGATCTAGTATTCGAATTCCTCGTATGGATCCTCATGAAAATCAAAATGTAGGAACTGGTTCTCGTTCCTAAACGTGTAGGCTTAAGAAGATAAAAAATTGAGGGTAGCGAAAGGTAAGGAAATTTGCAGCGGCCAAACCTGGAGATGCCGAGAGTGAGCTCTTGAAACCAGGTGCGTTGCGTATAACCAGTGGTGATGTTTGGAGGCACTAGATCCAAGTATCGGTTTGATGTTATCTCTGCATAACTCTGTCATAATTGAAGCTTTTCAGGATACAATCGACTCCGGTTTGAGGATACCTGGTTTGTGTCCTGCGTAAGAACCGTGTAATCGTCGATCAGTAAGATCTTTGGAGAGTCTGTGATGTTTGAGATGTACATAAGCGACGTTGGAGCTAAGGTTTGTATAAAGATTGTCTGCTTGTTCCACTTGTCCGACATATTTTCCTTTGTAGCCATACTTCTGTAGCATTTCCATGAACGAATCTTCTCCTGTTTGCAGAAAGGATTTCATTTATAAGAAAAAACAAACACGAGAGAGAAGAAAGATTATTTTCTTTCTTTCACTTACATGTTTGTTCATGGAGACCGCACTCTTCACTTCCGGATAGATTCCAAGGCGATTGAGATAAAAGGTTCGAATGTGATGATTTGAACCACTACACAAAGAAGACAACGAAGGGGGAAGATTCCTCGATTGCTCTGTGGACAGAGAAATTTAGAGTAATCCATGGCTCGCATTTGTATACTCACCTTTTACGCCAGTGCCGTTTTCCCAATTTGATCCGCGGGTCGGGTACAATCGAGCGACCGAGAAATACGTTTACCTGGGGACTAAATTTCTAATCGTTTTGCTTCTTGTCAGGCTGATGAGAATGTAGCAGCTCCTTTACCACGATGCAATTGCTTTTCGCGTATCAAAGTCCCCACTCTGGAAGCTCACACTCTTTGGAATCTTTTTTTTGCGTTCTAGGTGACTGAATCCTCGTTTAAATCGTCTATCCCCTTACTTCTTGCTTTTGGCTTCACACCTTTCCTTCGGTCATTCTCCTCCAGACCAGGAGGATAGCTTTGCACTTTCGCTCAACGTCCCGCAATCGGTGCGACCATTGACTGTATAGCTACTTTAAGCCCTCATCAAACATTTTCCTCTTTTACTCCTATCCAGGTTTGGATCCAGAAATATCTTGGACATGGTTAGTCAAAGGCCTTTTTGTCCCTCTTTTCCTCTAACCCGTGTCGGGGGAATGAGTGATAGTGTTGTTAAACAAGCTCAGCATCGACGTGAGGAAGTCATCCGAGTCTCGAAGCTTAAGCGTCACCAACCATGGTGGAAGGGGCCAGGAAAGGCAGCATGGAAATTGCAAGTGAAGGCATCGGGAATCTGGCCAGTGACAGAGGTATCATCAAGCTCCGTGTAAACAAGGTTGAATAGCAGTCCAAGGAACACTACCTGTGAGCTTGTTAGACTGGAGCCGAATCCTCTCCAAGTTGGACAGGCCACCAATGGAAGATGGGATTGCTGCCTTGGAATCCATGTAAGCCTGGAGGCGAGAGAGCTTCGTGACCATGCTTGGAATTTCCCATGCCAAAAGACCACGCTCGAGAGATCTTCGTGGAGAGTTACCAAAAGCATTTGAACGTGAGCGGGACGTAGATTATCCTTAGTGTAAAGAGTCGAGTTTAAAGATTAAACTAAATTTTTTTGAAATATATTCTTATTATCATTTCTAATCTTTGTAAATATTGAAGATTTTGTTGTACTGTCTCACCAAAGAAAAAAAATTCATGATCTGGAAAAATATTACAAAGTAAATAATAAAATGGTGGGGGTTTTTGTTGGTGTAAAACAATTATTAAAATTTTAATTCCAATTATATGTATAGATAACTGACTTGTGCCAGCAAAGAATTTGGCCTTACGATGAATCTACCATGGTATTTCTTTTAAAATAACGTCTTTAAGTTGTGGAGGAAAATGTTGAGGGTTACTTCTTGAAACTTTTAGATGTTTTCCAAATAAAATAATCAATACAAGAGAGAAAATCATTCTGTAAGAAGCCATAAAGAAAACATGTTTGTTTTTGGAATCTTGTGTGTGTAACATGTTGAATAAATCAACCAAATGTATGGCAAATGCAGCCACGATGCAAAATAATGTTCTTAATCTACATATGGGATATGAAAAATGATATATAATTTAAGCATAGTTTTATTTTTGTTGTATTATATATTAATGAATCTTTGCACACCATTGTTTGTAAATCCAAATCTCAGATCCATAAGGTTACTAGTTTGTGGAAATAGGCCAAGCAACATTCCAGTGTAACTACTAATCTATTTTCTTTACTAAAGCCAGGTAGTGCACTCCATCTCTTGTGAACAATTAAGATTTTGGAAGGTCTATTTAAAGTTGGATACATCAATAGTAACAACAGAAATAGTTACATGATTTTGGGGAGTTTGTACCATGGAATGTTGTGTCTGTTGGCTGATATTATAAATTTATGTTTAGTTCCACATCCAGCTGAGGTGTCTGCTCTTGGGACAAGTGGAATTGATGCCTCCTTAAAGGTTGACGATCCAAGCTCTGACAAGGTGGAAAAGAAAAGGAACAAATGGTGAAAGAAAGAAGAAAAAATGAAAAAGGAAAAAGAGAATGAAAGAAATCACCAAAGAGTGAGCAAGTCTTGCCCACTTAAATGCACTGAATCTCTAATGTTTGGTGGATGCTCCTTGAGCTGGAAGTCTTGGTCTAACTCCAAAAGGTTGGCTAAACCTGAAAAAATCCTATTAATTCCATCAAAGATGATTGCGTTGAAGATTGTTGTTTCTTGGGAGAAAGAGGACTCCCAGTTGATGATGTTAAGTGTTCTGATGCAAGGAAAGACGTCTACTTCTCTATTATTGATCTGGTGGCCTTCTGAAGTGGTGAGGGATGCGAAAACTGTCTTGAATTTCCCCACCAGCTGAAAGATTCCAAGCCTAAAGGATGAAGGAATTTGCTCGGGTATATGGTCTTCTTTGTTGACTGGAAGTGGCTGGTGGAGACAATGTTAATCATATCTTGTGCTACATAGCCTTCTAGTGATGGATTGATGAATATTTAAGGAAGTCGCTGCCCCCAAAGTGAAAGATACCATTGCACTATTGGTGACCGGAATATGTGTCATGCTTGCCTGTGAACTGCTTCTTAGTGTAGTTGGTCTGCACCAGTGGCGACTGCTGCTCTGGAATTTTGGTGATGATATACAGCAACAAGAAAGGTTCCTGAATCATCCATGCTGGAGGAACCTGAGATGCTGGTGTAAGAAGAAGTAAAGAATCTCATAGTCCCAGCTCACTTGACTAGCCAAAACTTTCTCTCAAACCTTTGGAGTTGTATCCACTACTTTGTCTGCTTTTTTGTACTAATGTTTACCTTTTAGAAATTGCTCCAGAGGCCATGTACTTTACCATGGTACTTTGTGGTGACTCACAGCTTTGAGCTAGTTCCTCCACGTTGGCTGGCACATCTTGATGAGTCCTTCATCTTGTCGTTGTTGTGTCATGAGTTAGAGTGTTGTTGTCCTACTTCAATGGTGTCAAGATGATGGTCTCTAGCTGCTCAGCATTAAAAAAAGATGGTTAATTCCCTTTCGTCATCTTTTTTAGGCATTTGTTGCTCTACGAGCTGCTCTCACACACATGCTGTATGTCTGGTTGGCTCTCTGCAGCTTTGGAAGACTCTGTAGACACCACTTGAGTGTTCTCATGTCAATCAAAATCTGAAACAGTGATCCAGAAGATAGAAATCTCCTCTTCTTTTGGTGTAGCGAGTATTTGTGTCATCTCAAATGTTGGCTATTCGTGAAGGATTAAACTTGTGATCAAAGAAGCGGTTACATGGAATAGGGCTTGTGAGGTGGCAAAGCTATAGCACATGTAAAGGATTTTGATATCCCGAGAGAATAAGAGTGGAAAACAATGGGGAGTGAAGGTTAGATTAGGCCCTCAGGGATTTTGCACTTAACAATGTTTCTTAAAGTGTGGTTTAGAGTAAAGAGTGCTTTGTTACTTATAAACATCTTGAGTGTGGCTTGGATTGGAATGTGCTTATGTTCATTTTGTGGATGTGGGTTTTTTTGCTGGAATAGTAAGTGTGTTTCTATCAATGTCCTGAGTACCTCAAAGTGAGTATATTTGGAGATCTTGTGTCAGTATTTGCAATGCACTACAAGGCTGGATCATGTGCATGTGCTTCTTTCAAATTGTGAGGCTGCCACTAGCAAGTAGAGAGCAACTAGATTGTGTTGACGAGAGATCAAGCTAATATGTTAGATATTCTATGCCACATGGCTTGAGTGACGAATTTGTTCATTACACCCTTCTTGGTATCAAAGGGATTGTGTGACAATTCTTGCATGTGGGGGAGAGAATTAGCTTCTGAAGTGTGAGTTTCTTTTATTAATCTTTAACCTAATATTGTTGTGGCATCTTCTTGAAAAGTTGAATGCAAGTGGTGGATCCAGTGTAGGACTAAGTGAATCTTTTGCAAAGTTTGAGAAGTGGAGTTGGGCTGATATTGCTGAGGAAAAGGAGGAGCACACCCAGTAGTAGTATCTTGAACTAGTGCTAAGGGAAAAAATGCTTAAGAGGGTGGTGTGGGTATGTTTAGAGTTCAATAAACATATATATATATACATTCCCCATATTCTAATGGGACTAATACAAAACCTGGGTGTGCCACCCTCTTAATAAGCTATTCTATGTGATCCTTATGTGTCGCAACTAGATCTAGTCCTAGAGTAGAAGTGGACATGGTTGTCTCCTTTGGATCATATTGATGTCCAAGTCACCCCTTCAAGCCAAACATAGAACAATGT